TAACCTCAATATCGCTCACCTTATTATACCACCTAACAAGGGAGATAGAGCGCAGGCACATATGATCAAAGACAGCTAGCCCTTTCATATCTTCCACTTTTAATGGTCATGTCTTAAACCATAGAGGAGGATGGTGCGGACTGCTGAGCAGTACACACGCCATTTGGTCGACAGACAGATATTACGTCTACACCAGGGATGGTGTAAGTTGTTGGGATATGCCAAACAAGCCTTCTGTATCCGTGCTGAGATTTCTTAAGCGATTAGCCTGCTGAGGCTGATGAAACTTCCCTAATAAGTAAAGTGGTCATGGCGCTCTGCCACTTCACTCCCTATCTTTAAGCTAGCAGTCTATGTAGCATCATCCTAAGTTTGACAGGAGCAAATCGCATGCCAAATATTCCTACTCAAAGTGTTCAGAAGACAGTGATTGAGCATACTGTGATGTGGCGAACTCACTCAAGTAAATATGTGTGGACCAACAGTCCAGATGAGTATTATTATGAGAACATCCAAAGTACGTATTTTCCGCCAACACAAACTTTCCAGAGGGCTTTATCTGGTAAATGTCAGCAAGTAGAAGAGGTTTGGTTAAAAGATTTCAGTAGTTAAAGCGTTGAAAGGTTCAAGTGATCGAATATTCACTCGTACAAACCATGAAGTTTTGACTGAAATTAATTAGTCATTCTTTCGGTCCTACATAACTTAATTACTGATGATAAAATAATTTTTTACGAGTTTGACCACGGAGTTAGAGAACCATTGAAAACCAGCATTGGAGTACTGGACAGCTGTTTCATCCTAGTTTGGGAATCGCCGGTAGTATGCACCCACTGCCAGGGTTCGAAACCAGGACCTTCCGGTTACAAGGCAAGCTCGCATACCATTCAGCCACTGGGACCCGACTCAATGGCCCACGAATTCTAACTTCTACCGATTCGTGATTTAGCGCAACCACCAGCCAACCATCATAATCAACTTGATATGGTATTGAACAATAGTTTGTGCTCGAAACGTCATCAGTTAATATAACTGTACAGCACTGTGTGATTTATCAAAATAAAATCTTATCCATAGTGGACCTTACAAACCAACTCTTGAAAGATAAAATAATTATCTGTTTTTATGAAATCAGTATTTTATTTGAAAAATGGATGAACAAAGATCATGAATATGTTTGTGCATTATGAGATAAGACTAGCAAACTAGAATAACAACTCATCAATACAATTAGATTGTTTAAAAAGACCAAGTATTCTTGTGAACTTTAAGGTCATCAATTAAAATAATGGATACTCACTTTCATTTTCATATATTATCCAGATACAATTAAAATGGATACAATGGAGAAAATTTGTAGTTTAGGTGGACGATATTTATCTAGTTGCTTTCTCTAAGCTAGATGTTTTAGTTGAGAAGCTTTCATTGTCTTTCTAGACAAGCTATTCAGTGCACACTTCAAGAGGAATTGAATTTAATTTGTACTAGGGTTGATCCATTTATTTATTTGGAATTTCCCTTTCTCTCGTCATGGGACTCCATACTGAAGTCTGTGCTGAAGATGTTGTCTACAAAGATAATGAAAGCTTCGCAACTAAATCATCCACCTCAGAAAACACAACTGCACCAATGAGATTAAAACAGTAAGTAGAGTCTCTAAATTTCACTCAAAAATGAAAAGATATTGCTGTTAGATTATGTGCTAGCGCTGCCTTCAATACAATTCTTAGAGAGCCTCTGTTCTCCATCATTGTTCACCTAGTGACTTTATTAGACGTAATATCCGGTTGTCAACCAAATGGCATGTGTACTGCTCAGCAGTCCGCTCCATCCTCCTCTATGGCTTTAAGACATAACCATTAAAAGTGAAAGATTTGAAAGGGCTAGCTGTCTTTGATCATTTGTGCGTGTGCTCTATCTCCCTTGTTAGGTGGTATAATAAGGTGAGCGATATTGAGGTTAGGCGACGAGTGCTAGTTAAGAAGAGGAAATTAATCGACGAGGTTGCGAAGCTGCATCGATTGAGATGGCTAAGACATGTGCTACACATTCCTCCTAGCCATTGTCTTCTTCGACAGTCAATGTTAGTCGATATAGGATCAGGTTGGAAAGGAGCTAGTGGTGGTCAAACCAAAACATGGAATCAGTCCATGAAATCTTTGGTAGTTCGTTTTAGCCACATAGAGAGGGGTAGACTGGCTTTCTGGTTTTGGTCCACGGGATGGTTAGAACCAATGGCTGGAGAAAATTGGTGATGTGACTTAAAATCGTTCTAAGTGGAGCAGATGCATTCAACTCTTTGTGATTTACAATATCCAATAAAATTCTATTGTTCTTCCATATTACTATTCTTTTGGCCTCACGCTTCTTTTTATTACCTCTCTCTCTTTTGAATCTTTTCTCTTGCTTTGTGTACTACATGGAGAGTGGCAACTCGACCTGCTGAACACCTGTGCAGAGTTCTACGTTGAAATCAATCAGTCAGAACTAGCATATTTCAGTTGGTGCTTGTAGTATTTTAACTACTTTAACAAATGAGATCCACACATTATCAAATATGGATTACTTTATCGAAAACCAATCAATCCTATCTTTCACTAGTACTCATAAAAGTATTTCTATTTTCTCCTGGTTGATCGATATGAGTGGTTGGATATCACTGTTAATAAATTCAATTCGGTTCTTAATTTACTTCAATCTGGCCAGGAAATACTACTGTAACGACAGAGGAGAAGGACTAGGCAACAGATTGTTTGTTGAGAAAATCAAGAGGTATTTATAGATTTTTATGTGCATTATTATTAGCGTTATTGTTAGCCGAGAAGCAACCTTTTCTGATTAGTTGTTTTCTTGCTGAAGGTTATTCTGTCATCTATTTGTGACCGTTTCTCAGAAAATCACATATCTGTGAATTATATCCCCACACTTTAATTCCGTTGTGATTGGCTGGTGATTTTCTCAAGGTTAAGCCTTCTTATTATTTTTTCTCGTGACCCTGATCCGGGACGTGAACATTGAAGTAAATTGTTGTCTAAAATTTTAGCTTGCAGACAGCTTTCACCGCACTACTAGTGGTTGATATTCACAACAACCAATCAGTGGTAGAGAGCATCGTGCAGTTAAGCTTGCTTTGGTTACAGGATTTCATCATGAGCTGACATCGGTTGGAGAACCATTGGAAAACCTGGGAGTACTGGACAGCTGTTTCGTCCTAGTTTGGGACTCTTTATCAGTGCGCACCCACCGGGGTTCGAACCCAGGACCTTCTGGTTACAAGGCGAGCTCGTATACCACTAAGGCCACTGGGACCCGATCCAATGGCCCATGAATTCTAACTTCTGCCAATTCACGATAAAGCGCAACCGCTAGCCAATTTCTTCGGCGAGTACTTGTCCTCACACCAAACCTGCTGCACCCTATTGGTCACAACTTCCCACTGGAACCCCATATATGGTATCAAGCAGATCAAATATTATGATCTGAGTAATTATTCCAATCAGAGAATGAAAGTGTGGTCAAGTTTCACCTCGAACTGTGTAAACTGTAAGTTGCGAGTTTGTTTTTATTTTTATTTCCCTTCCTCAAGTCTATTATATTTCGCACTAGTACAAAAAGAGATTTGAGATAGCTACGCATGGGAGACGATAAAGGTTTACAAGCATATCAGCTTAATTATCAAACCAGCTTCTGTATACCTTGTTGACATTTTACTTTAGTAAGGAAAGTAAATCAGTTAGTCAAAAATCAATGTAGACAAATAACGGTGGTCTAAAAACGCATAAGATATATACGCTTAAGGCTGAATAACTATTTCTGGAATATTTAAATTATGTAGAAAGTGCTTCATTATTTATTATTATATTATTTTACTTAATTACGTTCCCAGTGGAACATAAGGCTTCCAGCTAGACCTTTGAAGTTTCGGTTGGGGTTGCTGGCCTCACACCCAACCTTGCCTCCTTACCGGGCTTAATACCGGCTTAGCGAGGTTTAGGACTGAGTTGGCTGGGGAACCTAACACCGAAACAAATGCATGGTTGACGCGCGTCCTACCACTGAACCACGGACGCACTAGAAATTGCTTCATACTTCGGGAAAAATACCCATTGAAATGAACATAAAATCTGTGAAACATCAATATGCTGTACCATTTAATGATGAAGCCATCAGTGTCATTCAAGTCATCTGAAGTACATACTTCAAAAAACTAAGCTATTAGTTCTGCATGCGTCATCTGGCAGTATGTCTTGGTAACTGTCCACACCAGTTGGTCATGAACGTCTATTATAATCATCAACAATTAAAAAGTCACCGCTGAAGATAAAAAGAGATTGTACTATCTTACAAATGTTTCAAAAATTACAGCTAGAGTTTCAAGAACCTTGAAGTCTTTTAAATAATAGAGATTTGTAGCTCAGGTAGTTACGGTTAATAAGAATAAAAACACAAAGAGGCTAACATACAAACAGTTATTAAATCATTGATATTAAATGGTTGGAGGCAATCGGCAGGACCTAGGTTATGTGCTAGTTGGCACTCACCAGTCAGCAAGGCGTATCTGCAACCTTGAAGAAACCACTGGCTAGTATCCGATATAGTCCTACAGGAGGTCAATCGCGACCAGAATAGCTCAGTGGTAACATCTCCGACTGCAGCACTGGGTGACACGGGTTCGAATCTCAAAAGGGATATGAGTTCCTTCAAGATTGCAGAATCACCTTGTTGACTGGTGAGTGCCAACTAGCACGTAACCTAGGTCCCAAGGCTTCCTGCCGATTGCCTCCAACTATCTTCTAATATCGACAATTCAAAGTGCACCATGATGGCTAGCCACCTAGAATGCTGACCATATTGCAAACTTGACTGATAGAATTCAGTCTGCACCAAAACAAAAAAAAAAACAAAGGACTAGACAGACCATACTAGTCACTAACTAGTGTCCAATCAAAGTTATTAAATCACTTAAGTGATGAACAGTAAACCAGGAAACTTATGCTTACCGATCCACTGTAAGGCGAAAGATATGATTTTCACCTTCTGTAACAGAAATCCTTAGATACAAATACTTTACAATGCTATTTTCAGAGACACTGTTGCATCCACTGTCACTTTTCTCCGGTGATGATTGACTCTTACTTGTATTTTCTAATATTTCTGAAGATATTGGAGATGATGAAGATGGTTTTGTCGGATAGGTTTTAGATAAGATATCTGGATTACTATGATCATCGTGTTGTTCATCGGTGATGGTGTTAGGAGTAGGATTTGAAGAATCTTCATGAATAGACTTAATGATTTCAGTAGGCTGTTCACTAGTGAATTTATTCAAAATATTTCGTTGGTTATCTCCATCATCTGAAAAGTGAAAGAAAGTGAGTGAGTAAAACAAAAACAATTTAACTTTTAAAAAAGAAGTGTAAAAAGAATAGAGGTAAGGTGTTTAAAGAGTCAACAATTAATTTTTTAATTAATTGTAATTTTGATTACAGCTTGATTCCACACTGTATTTTTTTGGTACAGGTATGGAATTTTCAGCGTGTGATAACGGTAGCCCAAATTTTGCAGGCCGAACATAGATATCAGGTGTGCGTCGGCAGGGATTCGAACCCCGAACCATGTGCATGGTCGGCGAGAGTCCTAACCACTGTGCCACCGACGCACTGAATTTACTTACTGTCAATTGGTGTTTTCTGACCCCTTCATCACTCAGAAAATGATTTGGGATTGAAGTAATGTACACACTGGGAAATTTTCTATGGTTCTCCACAAGATGACTTCTAGGGGAATTTATACATCAAGATTCTTTCGCTTTATTAAACAACAAATGATTTGAATTCGACTAAGTCTTCATTTACTACGGGAATTTAGTTAATTGCTTTATAACTAATGGTTATGACACGCACACTCAAGCTTTACTTGCTATATAATACAATTAATTAAGTGAAATAACGATGATGTAATGAGACGCTAATTTCTCACCTTTATTTGCACATAAAAAAATATGATGGTGATAAGTGAGCATAACTTTAACATTCTTTATAAATAAATGTTTATCATTGTAATTATTAAACTAAAAATGAATTTTTATCCATCTAAGTTTTTTTATATACTTATTTCAATTTGCTGCTTCGACTTTGTACTTTCGTTACAGTTACATTCACATTGCATACTACTGTTATATCTTCTTTTTTTTCCCTGATTGTTTTCATTATTACACTGAAGTGTCTGTCATTCAGTAAGCTAACTGAATGATGAACTTGAGATGATCTTTGGTGGTGTTCTTAGTAGATTTAAATATTCATTGGATATAGAAATAAGAGGGATTAGACTAAAGGTATGGTAAATGATTGTCTACGCCTACAGATATACAGATGCATAGTTAGACATTGTTATACACAATAAGTAATAACAAAGGAACTCTCTTTTTTAAGCTTGGCATACAATATTTAATCTTTCATAGGTATATAACATATAGGCAAAAACAATATTTCATTTTATGTCAAGATGAATTAACAGATAAATCATCGAAATGGTTACTATTTTTCCAAGATGATGAACTAGTTGTAAGTATGATTCACTGAACAATCAATCAATCAATCAATCATACAATCCAGTTTAAAATGTATGAATTTCAATTACTATGTAAAAAATAATGTGTCCAAGTGTGAAAATCATTTAGAGTATGTGTAAGTGGTTGTGAGAGAATGAACTTTAAACGCTCTCTGTATTTAATACTCCAGTATATAAAAGCGTAATAATAATAGTAAGAAGAAGTAGAAGAAATAATGTTTGAAAACACTTGAAAACACAATCACATGATGGATGTCATGCACTTGAAATAAGTAGTATGAAAAAAAAAACGATAGTTTTTAGCACAAGGAATGATATAAATGTTGACTCAATTATAAACTATACTTTTCACCATATATTTTTCATAAAAATAATAATGTGCATCATATAATTCATAAGCTTGCCTAGTGTTTACTAGCTGATCTTAACCTTGGAAAAAGAGGGACGGTTGGGTGTGGGGCTAGAGACTGTACTCATGAAAATCAACTTAATCTCCACAGAAACTTCAAAGTACAGAGAAAAATATATAGACAAAACGTATTCTTCACCGTCTACGTCCGACGGTGACATGAAGAAGATCGTGTGACTAGGAGATGAGAGCATATGGAGAATTGTAGAGCCAACTTAAGAGAACAGCAGAGAATAGGGTGAAATGCAGATGTGCTGCTGAAGTTCTGTGCTCCACTTAGAACTCAAAGAAGTAATGATAAAAGCAATATACTTTATAGTATATGGAAACCTTAAAAAAAAACAAAAGAATGCCTAGATAATTTTTTATCGACGAAATCATCTTCAGAGGCTGTACAGTCGAGTTTATACTTACAAAAATATATAGTGGTCTATTATTGAGTAATAGGGGGTGACATAACTGACATAATTACTCAGAAGTGGCTTTAGAAGTGAAAATTATAAGTTGTTAATTACGTGGTACTCAACGGAACAAAGATAGAAATTTGATAAGGTTAAAATTGCTATTGAGTCAGAATAAAGGTATTTGAGTGTCAATTTAACAAGTGTGAAGAGGGTGTGAAAATATACAAAAGGAGCATATGAGAGTGATAATAGTGAATTAATTATTAAAGCAAAAGCAAACTAAAAGTGAGATTAAAAATTACAAAAAAGAACGATTATTGAGAAGGTTAAGACCAAGGTAGAATAAGAGACTGGACAAACTTTTTCTGTATACAGAGTTCAGGGTTGTATTGATGAATTGCCAGCGCCTCCGCCATACACAAAAGCCGAAACTTGACGCCCTTTGTACCATTTGGCTTCACTTTGTAGATGATCTTGAAAGACGACTCCGGTGGAGCTACGTGACCTGAGTTCACCAAATGCTCGAGAATTGAGCTAGTAATTGTCTTACTGTCCTTTTCCTAACCATGCCGGATAATATTCAGAGATGCGTTTGGAAAGCATGCGCTTTGTCCGGCCAATATAACTAGCTCCACACGAGCAAGTGAATTTATAAACGCACATTGAGGTTGTCACAATAGAACTGTGACAAGACAGAAGTCCACAATATACGGATTTATATCTTTTTTAACAGCTTGTTAATTCTTCACATTTCCTGAGATTGCCAAAATGCAAACACTGCTTCGTCTACCAACTCATCAAGTGTTATGTAGATATCTGTGTAACACCTGATTACAATCTGAAATATGTATATAGCTGTTTAAGATTCCTTTTTCATTTGTCTACTGATTTCCCTAGGTGACTTCATTGAAGAAAATTATGTCCAGACTACATAATTCCTCCTTTAAATATGATTATAGATGTAAAAATATTTATAGGATGATAATTACCAATCCACCATTTTTATTATTGATTTCTTATCCTATAACAAATAAAAGTGATTGATCACCGGAGAGAAGTGAAGTTTCTTAAAATCCAGCGGCTATTTTTCCGTTTTAAGCAGTAAACCCAAAACAAGTGGATTGAAAACGCTCACAACCATTCCAAATAGACCAATCAGTTAAAAAAGGGCTGGTTAGTATAACCTAACTTTGAAGAAAAACTCTGCTAGAACGCAACAAGTGATAAAGATCACTCAGCATGACCTTAGTTAGTTCAGTTAGTGTACAAGTTCTCTCGACATAACTGTAGTTGTTCTAACTAAACCGATTAAAAAAGGTCAATAGTTCATAAAACTGTTTTGTTTACTTAACACAACAGAAAAGGAACAAACAAAGAACTACCGGTACCTTTATCTATCGATTTTGAAATTACATCGTTGACTGAAGTACTCTGTAGCTTTTGTGCTTCTTCACTTTGACAAGATGAAGAGTCGGAGGATAATGATGTTCTTTTTCTGTTAGTAGCAGGGCTATAAAAATATACAAAGGTAAAATGTAAATAATACAATTACTTTAATATGTACAGAAATGTAAAGGCTACATCAGACTTTATTGGTCAATATTTAACAAAATTTGTCCAAGTCGTTAAACAACTGGTAAAAACAAAATAACTCATTAGGGTTACCACTTGGAAGGAAAATCTATTATATAAAAACGTTAGAGAATAAAATAAGTGAAGATTTTAGAGAGTGAAGTTTTTGCTGAACTTATAAACATTCTGTGAAACAAGACCTGTTAGAATAGTAGGAAAGACAGCTCAGTCTTCAAAGAGAATCTCTTTAGCAATAAATTTACAAAGTCCTGTAGATTAATATGGAGACAAATGTTGAATGACTGACTGACTGGTTTCAACATAGAACTTTGCACAGATGTAAAGCAGTTCGAGTTGACACTCCCCATGAAGCACACAAAGAAAGAGACAGAAGAGATTCGAAAGAATCATAATGAGCAGAAATGTGAAAGTAAAAGACTAGTAACATGGAAAACCATTAGGGTATTATTGGATATGGCAGATCACAGAGAGTGAATGCATCTATGCCAATAAGAACGATTTTGAGTCACATCGCAAACTGTTTCCAGCCATTGGTTCTTTGCATCCCGAAGACCTCAACCAGGTAGTCTACAACGCTCGATGTGGCTCAAACTAATTGTTAAAGATTTCATGGACTGATTCCATGTTTTAGTCTGACCACCACCACTAGCTCTTTTCCAGCCAGATCTTATGTCAGCTAACATTTTCCGTTGAAGAAGGCGATGACTGGGAGGAATGCGTAGTACATGTCTTAGCCATCTCAATTGATGCAGCTTTATAACCTCATTAAACCTAATGCAGTGAAGCTTATTAGCAGCCATGAAGTAGGGAAATCAAGTTTATTAGAACTACATTACCTATGTAATTCAATTTTAGATTTTCCCATCAATTGATTGGGCCGAAGTGCTCGGCCTCAGGTTGACATGTCGGCTCCTTGAACAGATGCTTCGATGATGTCTGGACGGGAAAATCTAAAATTCAATTAAATAATTAATATGACCCGTTGCACAAGAGGTGACTCTCGTGGCCCAAGTGGTCTAGCGGATAACGCTTTGGCGTTTGAAACTATGGGCACTGGGTTCGATCCTTGGCGGGAACATCATCACTCTCTGCGGAATGCAGGTACATCCAGTTGACGAGTCTCAAATAGGACGAAATGCGCATCCTGGATTCCACTGCTGGTCACCACCCACCAATTAACTACATTACCTATGGTTGATAGCGTTTTTTCCACTTAGAATGAGAGTTCATTGCTTGATGTCTGTTATACCGTTTCATGAAATCTACGCCTAATGATCATTTATACAATTTAAATTGTAAAGAATGCTTCAGAAAAGATCAGTCTGCACAATGTTTGACTATATTTTAGTCAAAATAAAATCATGCAAAATTTCCGATACACTACGGGTAAAATCCTAAAGTCAACATGTTAGAATGCTGATTGACTTGGAAAGTTCACTAAATATTTGTCAAATCAACATAAACAATTTAGCAGGAAATGATAGTCTGGTAATCCAGTCATAATTGTTTATCCTGTTATAGCTTTCAACCTGAAAACAAGTGTACAAAGATAATAGTTTCCTACTTCAAACAATGCTTATATATATCTATACATGAACATAATGCCTAATTTTGTCTACAGTTCAAATTTGTAAGTTGAATTTGCGAGAATAAATATGACTTATTTAGTTAGCAAAGATTAAGAAAACTATAAAATAACATGTGAATAATATATTATCACAAATTTTATATAAAGAAAACTTTTGGAAAAAACTATCTCAGATACGATATGTGTACCTGCCTTAACACTTATTTCATGTTTGATCACGAACTGATTTCAGTTAGACAACAACGGGAAAAAAACCCAGGGAATACTAGGTACTAGTTTCTTCCTTGTCTGGGACTCTTTAGCAGTACACTTACATAAAATGTAAGATGATGTTGCAGGATTAAACTACACCGACCCCTAGATTAGAAATAGGAAGTGAAGTGGTACAGCACGTTGACCGCTTCACTTACATAGGAAGTACCATCAGCCCCAACGGGTTGATCTCTGAAAAAATCTCAGCACGAATACAGAGGGCTAGTTTCGCATATGCCAGTTTATGCCGTCTCTGGCGTAGATGTGATATCCGATCATCGACCAAAGGGCGTGTGTACTGCTCAGCAGTCCACTCCGTCCTCCTTTATGGCTGTGAGACCTGGCCATTGAGAGCAGAAGACATGAAAAGATCAGCTGTCTTCGATCATAGGTGTCTGCGTTCTATCTCCGGGGGGAGTGGCGTAATAAAGTGAGCGATATTGAGGTTAGGCGTCGAGTCCTAGGTAAGGGGGGAAATCAATCCATGACGCTGTGAAGTTACACTGACTGAGATGGTTAGGACATGTGTTACGGATGCCTAGTCATCGCCTTCCTCGATGGGCGATGTTAGCTGACATAGGATCAGACTGGAAAAGAGCTAGCAGTGGTCAAACGAAAACATGGCACCAGTCAATGAAATCCACAACAGTTAGTCTAAGCCAGTCATGTAGGAAAGTGTAGACTTCCTGACTGGTTGGGGTCCTCGGGACGGTAGAAGCCAATGGTTGGAAACAATTGGTGACATGGCTCAAAATCGTTCTCAATGGCTGGTGCAGATGCATCCACTCCTTGTGATTTATGATTTCCAATTAAACTGTTTTGTTCTTCTTTATTACTATTCCTTTGTCTCACACCTCTGTTTACTGTCTATATTATGCATTTCTTCTATTTTCTTCTGTTTCTTTGTGTGCTACATGAAGGGAGTGTGGCGACTTGAACTTCCGCATATCGTCGCAAAGTTCTGTGTCGAAAACAGACAGACACTTATATGACCCCGCCACCAGGAGTCGAACCTAAGACACGGTGCGAGCTCCTTCACCATTCAGCCACTGAGAAGTAATCCAATGGCCCATAAATTCTAACTTTTGCCAATTTGGGACATATAGTACCACCGCCAACCGCATGATATGTGAGTATTTGTTCTCACACTCGACTCGGTGGAGCCCAGTAGTCACAACTCCTCACTAGAACTCCAGACAAATGTAGTCTGTGATAAGTTACTAGTGAGCAGCTTTAAATTAATTTTTAGATGTTGGTCCTCTAACTGAAGTCAGTTCATGCTGAGTCTTCAACTAAATCCTAGCTCTAGCCTATATCAACATCAAAGTTACAGAGACAGCTAATCTAATCAAAAAATTGACAAAATTATGAAAATTAAACATTGTTTATATCATGTGACCTCCAGTGCTATAGTGAATTAAATGATTAAATTCCAATTATGTATAATAGAATAATATACACTTTGCATATCTGTAGTTTGTAAATAAAGTAAATATGGAAGTTACACAGGCACACAAAAGTTCAAAATGTTAAACATTTTATCAATAAGAATAAAACACATAAGATATATAATACACTAAATTGGAACAAAAATTACTCTGTTTATACCTGTGTAGACAAAATCAATTGACGAGTAGATTATACTACGTTTATGCTGTAAAAACTTGTGTACTGCTTATAAAATGTTATTGATACTACTCAACCTACATGGAATTAACTACGCAGTTATTAGTTTGCTAGTTTGTATGATAAAGTGTATATAAATTACAAGGCGTCTATACACGAACTAATCAATTTCAAAATCTTAATTATATTGGCCGTACTCGGGAACACCTACCTACCAGTATGACTGAATGAAGGTATAGTAGAAACCACCAACAGTTCGATATTAGATCATCTTGTCCATAGTGCTGAAGAATCTTTTTCCATCACCTACCAGGTACCAAATAAATTGCCAGAAGACTCTAAGTACTGAATAATCCAAACAGCATAGCTCAAGGCAATTCCTTCTGTGTGTAAAAGAAATAGCCACTGTTGCTATGGTACCTACAAATTCATAAATTCTATATCACTTCTTAAATTTATCTGATATTCAGTCTTATATTGGATTTTCATGCATATTATAACTCATAGATGCATTTGAACTGTAATATACCCATCAATAATGACCCAGTGTTATTCAAAACATTTTTTAATAACAATAATTCTTGAATTATTATTGATATATAATTGTAGAACCTGATCAAGAAGAAATTATCAAAAAGAATATTCTTTATTCAGTAATCAGATTTTTAATGGACATCTTTAATCAACCAGTTACAGTTCCCAAACATGCATAAAGTGTGGAATTCCTCATCAAAACGTTTTATGCGAAAGTATTGATGTTCCATTCACTAAGAAACCATGTGACACTTTTGTATGCATTTCGTTTATTCAATTATATCAAATTATTCTACTCAGTCTGTTATTGTGAACCCCCTATCTGAAGTGTTCATATTCAGCTTATTATAACATACTAGTGTTAGTGAAGCTGAGGAGCTTAATCTATTGGTCTGTGGTCAATGTAACTTCTAAGAGACAGTAAGAAGATCAAGAAAGATGAGTGTGCAGGCAGTAAAAGTGTATACATCAATCTTCTGAATGGATTAATATAGTCACTGCTTCCAGGAAAGTGTCATTGCCACTGTTTACATCTGATGACCAGCAACATAATTCAGTCGGTTCATTAGGGTCAATAAAATGTGTTTTCATAGTTTTCGCGAAATAACTATACTATAAATCATTTGCCACTAACTAATACGCTAAGTCATATAGTAAGTTAAGACACACCCCGTTGATAACTGCTACCTTGTCGTAGTGGTCAGGTTTGCATATCCGCAGTGACCCAAAAAGCTACACTGGTTGAAACTTATGTTCCTGCAGTTCTTACCATACCAGGAAGGCTGTTTGGATAGCGGTTAGACTAAAAGCAGTTACCATGACGTACATGACCTCCAGAATCCAAACATATTGAATAGCGTATGAATCTGTATTGGTCACCTAGGACCATAGGAACGTAGCTCCTGAAGTTGCTCTGC